GGTAGCCAGGCAGCAAAGTGGTCAAGGAAGAGGAGAGGGGAACCAGGGGGACGATAGATTATGGCAATGTTAGCAGAGAAGGGTTTGAAAAGGCGAATTGAATGAATTTCAAATGATGGGAAAGAGAGGGAAGGGGGGGTAGACAGGGTTTTAAAGGTGCAGTGGGGTGAGAGAAGAAAACCTACACCGCCACCTTTAATCTCTGCTTGTCTTGGGTTGTGGGTAAAGTGAAGACCACCAAAAGACAGTGAGGCAGGTGTAGCAGTATCAGAGGGAGAGAGCCATGTTTCTGTTAGTGCAAGTAGGTTTAGGGAGTGTGAGATAAATAGGTCATGGATGGAAGTAGATTTAAAGGTGCTGCACACAGAGCGTGCATTCCAGAGGGCAGCTTTAAAAGAGGAATTATAGTGAGAATTACATGGAATGGGTATTAGGTTGTTGTGGTTTCTGGTGTTTGTACCAGGTGGCTGAGTAGTGGAGGGACCAGGGTTTGGAGAGACATCACCTGCTGCTAGGAATAGTAGGATGGAAAGGAAGAGAAGGTGGGAGTAAGATTTAAATGTTGGGGATGAGAGCTTGTATTTAGGGTATTTAGGAGGGGTTTGTGGAGAAAGGCTGGATAAATATGAATAAAGTGCGTGTGATGAATACAGAGATGAGGGGAGCAGAGAGGGAGCAATGAAGATGGTGTTAGCAGGAACAGGTAAGTAAAATGATAGAGAGATTTTAATGATGAGGGAAGTGAGAGAGAAAGTGAAAAATAGAAGTGAGAACATTAGTAGGTGCTGTATTTTTAAGAGCTATGGTTAGGAGGGCTAAGGGTTAAAGAGGTATTGAGTGAGTATAGCTTTTTTGGGTGTGGAGGGCTTGATGGACAGAGGCTAACATAATTGGTTTAGAGGAGAGGTAGGTAATTTGAGCTATCTATAAATGTAGTGGGGTTCTTGACTCTGTCTTTCTATGCTATATGGAGAGTCCGGCCACTCTAAGATCCGGTAAGTCGTATCTGCTCTATCTGTCGATTGTTGGACTAGATCTTGCGTGTAGGGGTAAACTACCGTGACACCCCCACACACACACTGCACCCCAAACACCACACAACACCACTCACACACACACACACTGCACCCCCCCGCACACACACACTGCACCCCAAACTCCACATAGCTCCCTTCACACGCAGTGCACCATTCACAAACACACACTACAACCCCCCACACACACACACAGTGCACCCCAAACACCATCCCAAACACACAGTGCACCCTTAACACACCCCATGCACTCTTCACACACACCTTGCACCCTTCACACACCCAGTGCACCCCAAACACCACACTGCACTCTTCAGACACACTGCACCCCTCACACACACACACTGCACCCCTCCAACAAAGAGTACACGCCTACACACCTTGCATTCCACACACACAGTTCACCCTTCACACCAGTGCATCCCCTACACACACTGCACCCCTACACACACTACATTCCAGACACACACTACATCCCTTATACACACAACCTAGATCCAGTACATAACCATGCATCCTCTTCACACACACATACACACACTAGAATCCATATACACACTCTGAATCATCTATGCACACACTAAATCTCATGCACACTGTAGGTCCTCCACACACACTAAATCCCCTAAGCACATAATAGGTACCCTATAGGCACACACTGCACCACCTGCACACATTACATTAATGACATACTGTGACGAGAGCAATCTCGCCACATTGCATTGGAGAAGCCTGGTTGCTCGCCTGCTGCCTTGGGACTATGGCCCCATGTTAAAATACATCTTTTTCACTGCAGAAAAGACTTATTCGTGCTTTTCTGCCCGGTGTTCGGTAGATTCTCGGATTTACTGAATGAACTCATATAACCCAGATAGGTATGCCATGGAGCCTATTCATGTAATAAAAGACTTTGGCTCCTTGGCAATTGAACTGTATGTGTTTGTGGTCTGAGCGCCATTCAGTATTAATGTGCGCTCAGACCTAAGCTATCTGGGCATATGTTGCATGTCTGTATTTTAAATACATAAATGTAACCTTGTGTATTTTATTGTATTTTACTGTCTTTTTGCTGCCATGTGTTCAATGGAGTTTTGCCTCTGTCTTTGGAGATAATTGGATTACTTCTAATTATCTCCAGGATAGAAGACTCTGTGGAACTGGTTTTGGGCAGAAAAGCCATGCTTCCTTTGGTCACAAATGACTACGATCTATCTTTTGAACCACTGGACCAATTTGTATGATTTTGATGTATGTTTGTATTTTGGAGTATGCTGATTCTGAAAAGTTTTATGTGAATGTGATGCATACTTTTCAAGTTATGAATAATGTGGAAAAATTGTATTTCTCTGCTTGTGCTAATTAAATTACCCATTGTGTAAGGTAATCGTATCACAGGCAGAGGGGAGGATTTTGTGTGGGAGTGTCTGAGTGTACTGGTTGTGTTCCAAAACCCTGTGGGTGGTACTAATTGTTGTATAATCCTTCTCTCACCACCAATACTTCCAATTGGTATCCTTTTGAGAGAAATCCACTCTGCGTTGTGTTTTTAATAGTGAATGTAATATCCCTGTGTCACCTCTTCCAAGAACTAACATATATCTTTATCCCCTTGTCCAGATAAATATATGACTAGCACTACTAAGGTATTCTACCCGATATTACAAATAAACAGCCAACACCATAGTTCTTACCAGAGAGAAATCTTTACTTAGAATCTGCCCAATTAAATATTACAGAAGAAGAATGTTACAGAGTTATAGTATTACAGTTACAATACATTCATAACACTCATACATTCCATCTATCTAATATCTACTGTATTGTGTATGTGCTGTGCATGTTATGTGCAGCATGTGTCTTACCAAACCTAATCTAATGTGATGTCAGTATCTTCTATTTTTAAAGGAATTGGTTCCCATGTTGTAACATGGAAATGTGATTTCCTTTCCCAAGGCCCAAAGTGTTGTCTATCCTGTTATTTTATTTAAGTGTTAACTTTCCCAGCCATCCCTTTGTCTCTAACCCAATGTGTGTTTTCCTATATAGGGACTCCTTTGACCAGTTGATATGTAAATGTGATTTCCTTTCCCAAGGCCCAAAGTGTTGTCTATTCTGTTATTTTATTTAAGTGTTAACTCTCCCAGCCATCCCTTTTCCTCTAACCCAAGGTGTGTTTTCCTAGATAGGGGCTCCTTTGAAGACCAGTTGATATGTAAATGTGATTGGTGCCTTTCAGGTGCTGTATCTTTTCAGCTATCTAAACAGAAACTCCCTTTGAAGATAATTCCTGACCTCCCATACACACAGACTTAATCAAGCACATATTAAACAGATATATACATAATATTTTCCCCAACACTCCCCCACTTGAATAAGATCTAATAAGGAGATTATTCACATACAGCCCCGCCTCCCACTCTGATTTCTGTACATTAAAAAAAAAATTAAAAATTAAAAAAAAAATTAAAAAAAAAAATCAAAGGAAGACATAGACCCACACATATATTTTATATCCCTAAAATGGATGTGAGCTCTAATTTTTCCTGCTTTGTATGGATTTTTTTTAGTTCTTTCCTCCAACAGCAATATAAAATGAATAGAGAACAGATTAAAACAAATTGTAGACAAACAAATATTACAGAAGCAGTTCTTAATCCTGGGTGTGTGTAAGTATTGTAGGGTATGCTCCACCAGGGCTCTTGAAAACTATTTGTTAAATCATTAAGGCTAGCTACATTTTCCTTCACCAGCTCTTGCAATTGCACAACCCTTCGATTATTTCTTTTAAATAATGTATCCAAATCTACATTAAGTGGTGGGATTTTCTTAAAAAGTGAGGGAGCCATTTTATTCCAATTTCCTAGATCTTCCTGTACCACGTCCATAGATCTTTGTGTGAGTTGGATATTGGCTCTTATGACCTCTTTGCCCACTTTCATGGAGCCATAGGTAAGATTAACACACCATCCTGTTGGGGGTACCCTACATTGTATTGTTTGCTGCCACAGAACTGAAGATACTCCCAGTGCGCAGATCGTGGGACCCTGTCCGTGCACCACTCTTTTCCAACCATTTATGGGTTTGTGAAGGTGAACAGGGCAGCTCCCTGAGTTTTCCACCATGCACCCATCTGCCTGGACTAGTGGTTCTAGTACACAGGAACAAAGCCAAGCATTACCACGTCTGTCACAGCAACTGGGGTTGATAACTTTCCAGAACTGGTCTTCTTTTATTACTAAGCGAGTTTGTGGAAGGAATTGCTTTAAAACATTAGTGCGATTAGCCACTTCCAACTCACCAAACATAGTCATCTTATAAACAGGTACAGGCTGTTCTGTCCAAACTGGAATGTCAATTATTAATGGAATTACCTTTTTTCCTAATTTGCACTTATTGCACCAACTCTGCAGACCTTTAATTTTGGAAAGGACTACATTCTGACAATCTATGCCATATTCCCTAACCAGATCAAAGACTAGGGTAGAATTGATTATTCTGGGCCATTCCCCTCGTTTTATTTCTTGGAGGCCTAAATTTAGATGTTCGTCTAGTAAATTTCCAACTATACCACATACCATAGCTTTAGATACATTATTGTTATTAACTGATTCTCTGAGAGCATTCACAGATATATTGATCCACTGCAAATCTGCAGCAACTGTGTGAATGTTCTGTATCGTGACATCAGTTTCAGCTAGAGTGTTAAAATCCACTCGTCCCTCTTTAAGCATAATTTGCTGCAACCCATTAACATAATTTTGTTCTCGTGAGTTAAGACCCTCTATGTCTGCCCTATTCCAAATTGATGTTCCCAAACTGAGTCCTGAGATTATATCAGTACCCAGATCCCTTTTTTCTCTCTCTCTAAACTTGAGCCCTTGTGTTGCCTCCCAGAATAGATTAATATGTGCTTGAAATACATTTTTAAACCATTCTTTCATCATCTCTGGGCAACTCTCTGGCATATTAAATAATGAAATAAGATACATCAGTATACATAAGAGTTTGTGTTGGTTGTAAGAAAAGGCCATGCTCTGGCCACAGGGTGGTAGTTGGACAGTCCTGAGAATTTATACTTCTTATGTTAATTGCTGGGTCAACTGTATCATGTAATCCAGTCTGATGGGGGCTGCATGTTACAACACCATCCTGAGAAAATGTAAAATTTCTTTCCAGCAGCATCTTTATCCTCATTTCAATTGTGGTATTGGCCCAAAATATACTTGTACTCGTATGTAAATCACTTCCTCCTGGATATTTCCAAACTGCAAATTCAGAGGGAAGGTTAGTTTTAGGCATTGAAATATTACATTGTATCACTATCCACCCCCCTATAGGCCCAACCACTGTAAGATTATCTTTACATGTAACTTCAGGTGATTGTTCCTTTACTTTTAATGTTACAATGATATTCTCTGAATCTTCTGAACTCCTTTTCTCCCTATGATAACCCTCTACTGGAGTACTCTGATGTACCATTTTATTGTTATTCTTCATCATGACATTCCCTTTTCCTAAGCTATACAATATATACATAGAAAACGATACACATAACCACCACATCACAACAGCTGTTTTCTTGCACTTCATATTCCTTATGTGGGCTGCTCTTCCAGGGATCCACTCCATCTCCTATTATCTGTAAATGAGAACTAAGATACTATGTTAACATTTACATTAACTTGGCATAAAGTTCTCATCTCCCACATCTAACAAATACAGAAGGACCAATTTTGTCAAGCACAATATATGGACCTTTCCATTTTGGTTTTAGAAATGGGTGGTAAGGGGAAAAATCTTGCAACATTACTCCGTTTCCAATCTGAAGCTCTGTTATATCTCTTTTTAAAAAAAACCTAAGATTCAAAGATGTTTGTCAGCATGCAATCTATAGAAAACTGACAACGGTCTGTTGCCATACAAAGATAAAAAGCAGCTTAAGGCTATTTTTATTGGTAACCATATATAGAAACAAAAGAAAAACAAACATACATACAGATGTAGAGAAAAAAAAAAAAATATGGTAGTTAATTGCTGGGAACCCTCAATTGATCTGTCTTTCCCTCATTTCTCATCTGTTCCCTAAGCGCTTTTACATCTGCCTCCAATCTCTCAGTCTGTTTCTTCAGGTCCCAGTATTCTCTATTCCCTTCTTTATTCCTCCAATTATCCCAATTCCGTCTACTGGTCTGATCATCCCATCTATGGTTCCTTCTCCAAGAATTCTCCCAATAACTGTTCCTGTTGTTTCTTCGTTTTTCTCCCCAACTGTTATTTCTCCAGTTATTATCTCTGCTTTTTAGCCTCTCCCAGTTATTATTATTCCAATTATTGTTAATTACCTGAGGCTCATCCCATCTATTTCTCCAATTATCTCCCTTTACATTGCTCCCTTTAGCACTATCCCTATTCCTATGGTCCCTCTGTGGATCTCTCTGTCTTTTGTTACTATCAGATTCATTCTCACATCTAAAATTTCCCACATGCCGAAATCTATCTCCCCTGAATGTTTTCTGAGAATACATGGCAGACCTGTCTCTCCTCTCTACTCTGAAAATCCTTGCAGCATCTACAGCAAAACTCTCATTTTTAACCTTTCTTCGCCACAAATTATCAGCTCTTAACAGTAGATCACACATTTCTGATGGGTTTGGGGTTACAGATAATATCTCATCTTTAATATCTTGCTCTAATGCATCCAAAAACATTGATCTATGCACCAGCCCTCCCTGTTCAAAACCAGGATTACTGACACCAAACTGTTCCATCACTGAGGAGATTCTAGCTGACAATTCATACGGAGACTCTTGTTTCAGCTGTTTAATTTTTCCAGACAATGACACATTTGATGCAACTCCATAAAGTGCTCTCAAGATCTCTTTCAACATATCCCTAGTTCTCCGCTGCTGACCACATGTCTGTACAATCCTGACCCACAATCCATTTCCAACAACTCTCTGCAGCACCCTCTCCATATCACTAGTTGTCAAACTATACATCTCTTTCACTCTTTGAAATCCACAAAACCATTGCAAAAAGCGATTGATATCCTGCTGGGGGACCTGCCCTATTTCTCTAACTATAGCATCTATTTCTTGTGGCTTCAACTGCTTAGTAACCAGCTGAATCTCTCCAGAATTATCAGGATTCAACACTGTGGTTGTTGTAGTTGGAGCCGCAGGGAGATTTGTCACTGACTTTTGTTTGTATCCTGTATCTCCAATCCCTGGGTTAGCAATAGACCCTGGAATTTCAGATACAGGAGACCTACTCGAAGGTGCCATGCTTTCTGCCATTCTATTAAAAGCCATATTAGTAGCATGTCTGCATTGATCCAATTCTTTTTGCATCTCCAAAATTTTCTCATTCAAACTCTCATTCTCCACTGTAAGTTTCTCACATATTCTTGCCTTTTCAATCAAAGCTTCACCAGTTGTAACTGCATGCACTCTTAGATCTACAATCTTATTATTTAATTTCTCAGATTTCATGTTAATTACTGAATTAAGCTCTGCCATTTCATCCTCCTTTATTTTTACAAATCCCTCTAATTTTAAACAACATGATAGTAATGATTGCATAATACACCCTTTTCTTTTTTTATCAGAAACATTTTTATCAAATAACATTTCTCCTAAAAACTCCTGCATCTTTTCCCATGACTGTTTGCAGTCCTGAGGGATTTCATAAGGACCACCATGTCTCTTAATATAATTCATAAGCCATTGTTTAACATTTTCTGAACAAGCCATTTTTGCATCTACCTTTTTACATGCCATATTAAAAATTGACACTGCAGCAATAGAATAAATAACAAATATACTCACCAAGCTTTATGCAGACACTGGAAACCTCTTCTGGCTGACAGTCACAGAACCAAATACGTTGATGTTAAAACTTGGATCCTAGGCAGATTCTGAAGAAAGAAATCTTCCGGCCACGGTCACGGCACCAATTATGTTGTATAATCCTTCTCTCACCACCAATACTTCCAATTGGTATCCTTTTGAGAGAAATCCACTCTGCGTTGTGTTTTAATAGTGAATGTAATATCCCTGTGTCACCTCTTCCAAGAACTAACATATATCTTTATCCCCTTGTCCAGATAAATATATGACTAGCACTACTAAGGTATTCTACCCGATATTACAAATAAACAGCCAACACCATAGTTCTTACCAGAGAGAAATCTTTACTTAGAATCTGCCCAATTAAATATTACAGAAGAAGAATGTTACAGAGTTATAGTATTACAGTTACAATACATTCATAACACTCATACATTCCATCTATCTAATATCTACTGTATTGTGTATGTGCTGTGGGATGTTATGTGCAGCATGTGTCTTACCAAACCTAATCTAATGTGATGTCAGTATCTTCTATTTTTAAAGGAATTGGTTCCCATGTTGTAACATGGAAATGTGATTTCCTTTCCCAAGGCCCAAAGTGTTGTCTATCCTGTTATTTTATTTAAGTGTTAACTTTCCCAGCCATCCCTTTGTCTCTAACCCAATGTGTGTTTTCCTATATAGGGACTCCTTTGACCAGTTGATATGTAAATGTGATTTCCTTTCCCAAGGCCCAAAGTGTTGTCTATTCTGTTATTTTATTTAAGTGTTAACTCTCCCAGCCATCCCTTTTCCTCTAACCCAAGGTGTGTTTTCCTAGATAGGGGCTCCTTTGAAGACCAGTTGATATGTAAATGTGATTGGTGCCTTTCAGGTGCTGTATCTTTTCAGCTATCTAAACAGAAACTCCCTTTGAAGATAATTCCTGACCTCCCATACACACAGACTTAATCAAGCACATATTAAACAGATATATACATAATATTTTCCCCAACACTAATGTGTAAGAATGTGTACATAAGAACAATAAACCCACAATAAACCCACAGCTCTGTCTGTTCACTGCTTGACCCTCAACACAGAGCTTTGTCTCGTTCTTGGGGGGATTTATTGTATGCTGTTCCAGTTCGACTGCTAGGAGTGTAAACATATTCGTATGGTTTTTCCTATTCGGCTGTTTACGGCATTCATATGGTTTCCTGTTAGGCGGATTGGTGTTCTGCAGTAGCTGTGACTGTGTCTCTGGAAGGGGAAGATCTCCTAAATGGCGGTTTAACCCTTTTATGCCTGGGGGTGCCGTAACAATTGGTGGCAGCGGTGGGATCGTTCCTACAGCCATAAGGACAGCTACAGGAGACACCATTTCTTTGGATTTACAAGTGGGGGCAACGCATGTCCCAGTACAGCGACCCTAAAAGCAACAGAATGGAACCAGCAGTGTTATACGAGGAGGAGGACCTGGATGGCCGGGATGCATTAAGGAAAGGCATCTTGTACCAGGCCCTGGATAATGAACAATACCAGCGGGGTGAGAGTCTCCCCAGTGAAGAGCAGCGGTTGCAGAAGCAAGTGGCCCTGCGGATGCCCTTCCTGGGAGAGCAGCCCCTGGAGGAACTAGAGCACCGGGTATGGCAGGAGCTATGGCTGGAGGATGCCTACCAGGCGCTCTGGTGGTATATGGCACAGCATATACTCTGGACAGCCGAGCATGACAAGCCAGAGGGATAGGAGTTTGATGGTCCTGGCTTGTTATGGGAGTCCTTTGCAGAGCCTGACTTCGGGAGTTCTACGAGAGGGAGGCTAGGCATGACTGGGATGACCCCCATGAGGTAGAGCAAGACCTGGCTCACCTAGCAACCCTGGAGTGGGAACTGGAGCAGGACTACCGAGATCTCTTCCACTCCATTGGGAAGGCTCAGCAGGACAGCAAGGTGACAGACCCAGATCCAGACCCCTTCAGCTGGGAAGATATTGTAGAGCTTTACTGGGAGGAACCCCAGGCGGCAGGTGGAGATGGGACTGAGTTCTCTCCACCGGCACTTCAGGGATGCTGGGTGATCAGATTGATATGCCGGGAATTGGGAGCCCAGTCTCCATTCCCCAGTGGCAGTGTGATATGCCGGGAACTGGGAGTCCAGTCTCCATTCCCCAGCGGCAGTGTGATATGCCGGGAATTGGGAGCCCAGTCTCCATTCCCCAGCGGCAGTGTGATATGCCGGGAATTGGGAGCCCAGTCTCCATTCCCCAGCGGCAGTGTGATATGCCGGGAATTGGGAGCCCAGTCTCCATTCCCCAGCGGCAGTGTGATATGCAAGGAATAGGGACCCCAGTCTCCATTCCCCAGCAGCAGGCTGAGTTACAGGGGGCAGAGACAGCAGTGTTCCTTGCAGGGAGAGGACAGCAGCGTCCTCCCTCCCCAGTGGCAGGGTGAGCTACAGGGATGCTGGGCAGTCGGCTCAGATCCCCAACGACAGTGTAATATGCAGGGAGCCCAGTCTCCATTCCCCAGCGGGAGATATTGCAGGGAATTGGGAGCCCAGTCTCCATTCCCCAGCGGGAGATATTGCAGGGAATTGGGAGCCCAGTCTCCATTCCCCATTGAGATATTGCAGGGAATTGGGAGCCCAGTCTCCATTCCCCAGCGGGAGATATTGCAGGGGAATTGGGAGCCCAGTCTCCATTCCCAGCATTGCAGGGGTGGGAGCCCAGTCTCCATTCCCCAGCGGGGAATGTGCAGGGTGGGAGCCCAGTCTCCATTCCCCAGCGGGAGATATTGCAGGGAATTGGGAGCCCAGTCTCCATTCCCCAGCGGGAGATATTGCAGGGAATTGGGAGCCCAGTCTCCATTCCCCAGCGGGAGATATTGCAGGGAATTGGGAGCTCAGTCTCCATTCCCCAGCGGCAGAGTGTCCTAGAGGGAATAGAGAGCCCAGTCTCCTTTCCCCAGCAGCAGGACTCTGGATTGGGAGCAGAGACAGTCGGTCTCCCTCCCCCGCGGCTGGAAGTATGTATGGGAGAGGAGCTTGTTACCCCCTCTCCCCAGTGGCAGCTTAATGTACCAGGGGGAGACAGTAAGCCCCACAACTGTGCAGATGGGGCCGTGGGGGTAGGGACGGTCGGTTCTGCCCCCCAGCGACAGGGCTGTTTAGCCAAAGGGGAGACAGTCGGTCTCCAGCAGCAGAGCTGTGTGTCTAAAGGGGAGACAGTTGGTCTCCAGCAGCAGGGCTGTGTGTCTAAAGGGGAGACCGTCGGTCTCCCCCTCCAACAACCAGGCTTCAACCAGGCTACCTTCCCAGTAGCGCTGGCAACAGGGCAGAGTACCGCTGGTCTCTGCCCATGCAGCAACCCACCAAGTCAGCATACCCATACCCAGCACAGCCGTGGTGAGGCACCTGGACATGGACAAGCTTCTCCTCTACCCAGGTGTAGTAACCATTGATTGTGTTTTGTGGGTGGGCTGCTGGACTAACAAGGGCACTGACCGGCAGGATACCCTGTTAGTCTGTTTGGAAAAGGGGAGAGATGTGACGAGAGCAATCTCGCCACATTGCATTGGAGAAGCCTGGTTGATCGCCTGCTGCCTTGGGACTATGGCCCCATGTTAAAAGACATCTTTTTCACTGCAGAAAAGACTTATTCGTGCTTTTCTGCCCGGTGTTCGGTAGATTCTCGGATTTACTGAATGAACTCATATAACCCAGATAGGTATACCATGGAGCCTATTGATGTAATAAAAGACTTTGGCTCCATGGCAATTGAACTGTATGTGTTTGTGGTCTGAGCGCCATTCAGTATTAATGTGACCTTTATGTGAATGTGATGCATACTTGTCAAGTTATGAATAATGTGGAAAAATTTTATTTCTCTGCTTGTGCTAATTAAATTACCCATTATGTAAGGTAATTGTATCACAGGCAGAGGGGAGGATTTTGTGTGGGAGTGACTGTATGTGTTTATTGGTTGTGTTCCAAAATCCTGTGGGTGGTACTAATGTGTAAGAATGTGTACATAAGAACAATAAACCCACAGCTCTGTCTGTTCACTGCTTGACCCACATCATGGAGCCTTGTCTCGTCTTTTTAGGGGATTTACTGAATGCTGATAGAGACTGATTGCTAGGAGTGTAAGCCGCTTGGATGCTTTTCCTATTCGTCTGCTAGCAGCAATTCGTATGGTTCCTGTTCGTGTGTTTGGAGTGCTATATTGGATGCCGTTCGGGAGCTTGGAGCATTCACTTATTGGCGGTTCGTGTGTTTGGTGTTCCACAATAGCTGTGCCTGCATCTCTGGAAAGGGGGACGATCGCCTAAACGGTTTTTACCCCTTGTGTGCAAAACGGTCTGTTACACATACAAACTCTGAATCACCTATGAACACACTAGATTCCTTGTAAGCAAACACACACACTACTTTTCCTAAACACAGACTTTACAACCCATACACACACTAAATCACCTATACATACATAAACTACAGCCCCTAATCACACACTCGCTACATCCCTTATGCTCATACTCACACTCTCACTCTCTACAGCCCCTAGCCATACATATACACTGCAAACACAACACAGCTGAAACTGAAAACACCACACCAAAATCAACTCACTCTACACACACACAATCCCACAAGCAGGCTCTAAACACATGTGTAATACGCTTTCCTTAC